TACATGGCTATTGTAATAATCTTGGTAAGAGATAACGGTGGCTTGAATCAGGAAATTAGCTGTAGTGGTGGTAAGAAGTTTTCATATTCTGAATACATTTAAAAATGTAGCCAGCAGGACTGCTGGTGATAGTTATACAATGTGAGAGAAAGAGGAGTTTAAAATAATTCCAGAATTTTTTTTTTACCTGATCAATTGGAAGAATGGCAGTTCTCTTTGCTTAATATTTGGAAGACTGTATGTGGAGGCACAGTTTTTGGAAGAAGTTTTAGGAGCTCAGTTTGGGACATGTTATTGATGTCTATCAGATGTACATGTGGAAATGTGAAATAGGCATTTGGACACAAAAGTTTGGAATTTGGGGAGGAGGTCTGGGATAGAGCTATAAATGAGTCCTCACATCATTTGGAGAAAAATAGAAAAGACAAAAGTTCTAAACACTGAACCTAGGGCATGCCAATATTTAAGTCAGAGAGATAAATAAGAACCAACAAAGGATATGGAGAAGGAGAAGTCAGGAAACTAGATGAATGTGATTTCTGGGGAGGGGACTTGTTTTGAGGAGATGAGTGTAGTCAACTACGTCAAACCCTGCTGATTGTTAAAGACTGAGAATGAGAATAGGCCGTTAGATTTAGCAACACGGAGATCTTTGGTGACCAAGATAAGAGCAGTTTTGGTGGTGAGGTGGAGACAAGAATCTAATTGCAGAGATCAAGAAGATATTAAATGAATAGCTGTTGTTCTTAATGAACTGTAAGCTCCTTATAGGCTGGAACTATGCTTCATTCACTGCTTAACCTTTCAGGCATAGAGTCAGTTCTCACTTGCTCCACGTTTTGTTCTATTCAGAGCTCCAATGAATTCCATGAGGCCTACTCACATTAGGGAGGGCACTCTGTCTTATTAAGTATACTGATTTTCATGTTGATCTCATCCAGCAACACCCTCAAAGACAAACCCAGAGTAAGGTTTAAATATCTGGGCATCCCATGTCAGTCAAGTTGACAAATAAAATTAACTATCACAAGACTTATTTTGTGATTATCAATATGGTTGCCTTTAAACCTACCAGTTAGTTATTTTTATTCTATTTGTTCTATCACTTTTTTGTTCTCTTTTTCCTTTTTATCTGCCTTTGGATTTGTTAGATTTGCGTGTGTGTGTGTGTGCGCGTGCACACGCACTTATCTCCTTTGTTGTTTTCCTGTTGGTTTTTTAAAGATTTATACAGTGGTCCTCAACAAGGGGCAGTTTTCCTCTTGGGATTTTTGGCAATGTCTGAGACATTTTTGACAAAAGTGAGCAAGAACTACTGACATCTAGTTAAGAGGCTGAGTTGCTGCAATAATCTTAAAATGCAAAGTACAACCCTTCCCCCACGAAAGATTATCCAATCCAAAATGTAAATAATTCTGAGGTTAAAAAATTCTAATTTATACTATGTTTTTTAACTTATTAACAATCTGCTTTTAAGTACTATTATACCACTTCATATATGGTATAAATACAACATATACCTTCATTTCACCTCCCAGCATTTGTATTATTGCTGTCCTACCTTTTATTTCTACATACAAACTCCAAGATAAATTATTATTTTTGCTTTAGTCAATTATTTTTAAAAATTTTAAATAAAAGGTTTTTTTAATATTTAAATATGTATTTATAATCCTGAGTCTCTTCATTCTTCTGTATGGATCCAGATTTCCATCAGGTATAATTTTCCTTCTGCCTGAAAGACTGATTTCAGCATTTCTCATAGTGCAGGATTGCTGGTGATGAATTCTTTCAGCTTCTGTGTGTGTGAGACTCTTTGTTTCACCTTTGTCTTTGAAAGACATTTTTGCTGGGCATACAATTATAAGTTGATAGGGTTTTATTTTTTTAATGCTTCAAAAATACTGCTCCACTGTCATTTTTGTGCCCTGTTTTTGACAGGAAAATATTCTTCTCATTGACACTATTACATAATGTGTCATTTTTTCTCCGGCTATGGTGTAAGATTTTTCTCCTCACCACTGATTTTGAGAAATCTGAGTGTGATGTACCTTGGTATAGTTTTCTTCATATTTCATGTGCTTTGGGTTCTTGAGATTATTTAATCTATCAGTTTACAATTTTCATCATTTTTAGAAAATGTTTGGCTGTTATATCTTCAAATATTCTTTCTGTTCCCTCTCATCTTCTCTCTCTTGAAGTGTTCAGTAACATATATATTCAGCCTGTTGAAGTTACACGCTGATGCTTAGGACATGTTTTGATTTGGGTTTTTTTTTTTTCCTTTTTCCTTCTGTCCCTGTTTCATTTTGGATACTTTCTATTGCCGTGTTTTCGAGTTTACTAATCTTTTATTCTGCGACATCTAATCTGCTCATAAGCCCATTCAGTGTAATTTTTGTCTCAAACATTGTATTTTTCATCTCTAGAAGAATTTTTTTTGTTCTTTTTTTATATCTGCTGTGTCTCAACTTAACATGTTCAATGCTCTATTAGCTTTTGAGCATGTAGAGTATATATATAAAAGGTGTTTTAATATCTTGGCCTGCTGTTACAAGCATTTATGTCAGCTCTGTGTCCATTTTGATTGAATGATTTTTCTCCTCATTATGATCATTTTTTTCCCTACTACTTTACACTGCTGGTATTTTTTATTGGATTTTAGTCATGGATAATTTTACCTTGTTGGAGACTGGGTATTTTTATGTTCCTGTAAATATTCTTGAGCTTTATTTTGAGATGCAGCTAAGTAACATTGAAACGGTTTGATCATTTCAAGGCTTGCTTTTAAGAGTTGTTAAGTGAGACCAGAGCAGCATAATATGGGAGGATAATTTTGCCCCATTACTAAGGCAATATCCTTTTGATTACTCTAACTGATGCCTTGTTTATTACAGTGTTTTTAAAAATTCTAGCTGGTGGTAAGATGAGCTATGCCTGCTTTTGTGTGAGCCTAGTGTGTTTTCCCCCTTGATCCTTTCAAGTGGTTCTTCCTTACTTTGTACAATTTCCTGATACATGTGCTCTTCTAGTAGGTGGGAAAAGAGATGGTTAGTTTGTTGTTGAAGTAACTCAGATAAGATTCCTAATGATGAACAATTGACTTTGATCAGAAGGGTAGAGGGTAATATATTTTACATCATCTCCTTAAAAGAAAGAAAAGTTGAATAATAGTGATGTAACATGTCTATTGACTGTATTTTTAAAATTAAATTAGCCTCAGGAGTTCATATTTTGTTATATTTTATTGTTTTGACAATCCAGACTCTACAGTGAAGTCACATACCTCTGTACTCCTCAGTTTTCCCAATTGTAATGTATATGTGCCAGTGTATATAAATAATGATCTTGTGGAGAGCAATGAGCTTTATTTCATTTACAGTATTTAGATTTTAATGTAGTGTATAACTACTTATGGTTCTTGACTCACATTTAATAGCATAGATACTCAACTGTGTGCAATGCAAAGAAATATACAACTCTAGTCATAAATTCACAATTGATAGGTGCCAAAAAATATTTATTTAAACCCTATAAGTAGTACAAAAGTCTTTGTCTAATAGGAGACTGCATTGACATAAAACATAAAATAAAATTATGGAAAACAGTATGGAGATTCCTCAAAAAACTAAAAATAGACTTATATGATCCAGCAATCCTGCTCCTGGGCATATATATGGAGGGAACTCTAATTCAAAAAGATGCATGCATCCCAATGTTCACAGCAGCACTATTTATAATAACCAAGACATGGAAACAACCTAAATGTCCATCAATAGATGATGGCTAAAGAAGTTGTGGTATGTTTATACAATGGAATACTACTCAGCCATAAAAAGGATAAAATAATGCCATTTGCAGCAACTTGGATGGACCTGGAGATCATCATTCTAAGTGAAGTAAGCCAGCCAGAAAGAGAAAGAAAAATGCTATATGGTATCACTCATATGTGGGAAAAAATACACAAATGAAATTATTTACCAAACAGAAACAGACTCACAGACATAGAAAACAAATATGGTTACCAGAGGGGAAGTGGAGTGGGAAGAGATAAATTGAGAGTTTGAGATTTGCAGATGCTAAATGCTATATATAAAATAGATAACAGGTTTCTACTTTATAGCACAGGAAACTGTATTCAATATCTTGTAGTAACCTGTTATGAGAAGGAGTATATGTATGTATATGTATGGCTGAAACACTATGCTGTACACCAGAAATGGACACACTGTAAACTGACAATACTTAAATTTTTTTAAAATTAGAGCTTTTTCAGATTTTTCTATAAATTATTATTGGTTATTGATACTTGCTCTTAAAGGAGATTTTACTCTACTTTTAGAAATTAAGAATGATTTCTCACTTTCAGAATTTCACAAAATTAATTAAAAATATGTGTTTCATTTCTAAATAGTAAACTTAGGAAAATAAATTTGTCACTCAGCTAAAGAACCAAATTATTTCATTCCTAGATCTCATTACTTTAAGAAACTTCCCATTAATTTATAAAGTGGTAATAGAAAGCTTATGTTTCTAATATCCTTTAATGAGACATTCGGACATTTTTCAAATATCATCTCATCATGTCTCAAAAAAATATTCAGTAAATGTAACTCAGCACTAATGAGGACTATTCAAATCTCAATATTTTATTCGTGAGAAGAAGAGTTCTCCTCTGAAAAGTACACCCTTGAAATTAGCATGCTAGCATTGTATTTGGGTTAGGCCTTGTCTTGAGTGTATCCTCTGATGAAATGAAGACATTCTGTGGCATAAACCTTGGCAAAAGGGTCTTCTGCAGCATTTGTGATAGATATCATTATTTAATTGGGTATTTGCATTAATAATTATAATTATCAACATTCTCTTTTGTTTTAATCAGTAGAGTAGACCAAAACATAGAGCTGTTTTTTTACCATTCAGTTTATTGGTAGTCATTCTAATTATCTCTTATTTCTTCTTTGTTCGTCCCCTGCATCCCTTTCTTTTTCCACCCATAGCTCTATGCCATCCCTTGGTTTCTCACCATGTTTACTCGTAAGTATCATCTTCCCTTGTCTTTTGATATTGTATTATCAAAAAGACAGCTCCATTCTTCCCCAGTACATTATAGTTACAATAATATTAAGCAGATTTAATTATATAAGCATCCTTATGTAATTCTAAGGAAGGGTTGGGTAAAAAATAAATTGTGATTGTTCTGACTGCTAAATACCAAAACGAGTGTTCTCTAGGATGAAAACCTTTCTTACGTGCCATGACATTCACAAAATCTCTGCCCTCTATTGAAAAATAAATTAGTATTAACTATAGTATTTACATAAAGTTTTCAAAGGCAACTTTTACAATCAAATCAGACTCAATTTTTAGAGATTGTCTAATAAGTAATGCTTTTATTTCTTATACTAGAATTTCTCTGGAAATTAAAGTTTATGTGAATGTGTAATACTTTTAATCAGTTACAGATATTAGTATGGTGGATATCCTGCTTAAATATGTACATATGATAAGTGGAATACAATATTTGAAGTAGGTCTGTATGCACTGACCTAAAAAGATGTTAAGATTGTTATTAAAAACGGAAATGGAAAAAGGAGAGTTGCAAAAATAGAAAATTGTTAATCAGATTTTTTGATGAGAATTTGAAAAAGCAATGTTTAGAGTGTATAATAAAAATATAATAATACTGAATCTATAACAATACTGTAATTCTTCTAATTAAAAAATTTATGAGAATAATATAACTGGAAAATTCTAGGAATTAATAGACTGAATCTGAACAACTATACTAAGATTAATAGAGATTAGAAAATGTCATCTATTCGATCAATCTGATTGTCAGTTTTTTAAGATGTCTTAGGACTCATTAAATCTACAAAGCCAAGTAAACATTTTATAAAAACAGTTTGATAGTATTTGCTTTTTAATAGTTTTGGCCATAAAAAATTGTCATATGTCTAGTAAAGCAGCTTATAGTTGTTTTAATTTTTATTTTGTTTTTTTAATTTTAATTAATTAATTTATATTTGTCATTTTACAGATGTATTTCCACTGCACAAAATTTTCCACCTCTGGGACACCCTACTACTTGGGAATTCCTCCTTCCCATTCTGTATCGGAGTAGCAATTCTTCAGCAGCTGCGTGACCGGCTTTTGGCAAATGGCTTTAATGAGTGCATTCTTCTCTTCTCTGATTTACCAGGTATAGATTATATATAAATGGAATCACTAAGTGAAATGTAATTACAGGATAATGAGACATTCTTAAAACAGTTTGGAAAAATGATCATCTAGGCCTTCAGAATCTCTTCTAGTTGAACCACATCATCCCTCTCTGAATTCTCTCCCTTGTATACTACCTCTTCTGCTGGCCCAGCATTGAAAACAGAAAACTGGGTCATACTAGCTCACTGTCATTTACATTCATGTTATTGATGCCACCAAAAAGGTAAAAGAGGTAGGGGGGTTATGACATATTTGTCTTTTTCCTTAGGATAGACCCGTTTATCTTCAGCAAATAGAGAGTAAGTAAAGGCCACTTGGGAAGGTGTTTGAGAATCTAATTTACATGGATCTTTGCTTTCTCCTCTCCATAGCGGCATGCTAATAATCTGACAGTTTGAGGAAAGAAAATACTGTCCTCTTGGGAGGGCAGATCACACTCCAGGGAAATTCCGTGTTATACAATGCATGATAATAAGTTAAGCTGTATTGTATTCACAAGTGAGGAGTTCATAAATCCAGGAGTTGAATGCTGAAGTGTAGAAATCTGAATTTTAACTATGGTTTAACCTTTGATGCTATAGCTGAAAAGATGAAAGTAATATGGTTGCATAGAATATAACAATCTGTGGAAGACAAATACTAAACTACCTTTTTGCAGAAACCAAAATGTTTTCAGGTAGAAAAATTCTGCTTTCTTCAAATAGTATTGTATTGGCTCCAATCCTTCTATGAGTTTATTGCTGTTCTCCATATGTTCAGGCAGGCACGAGTGGTTGCTGAAAATGAACACACTTAAAATTGTCCAAGAGATAAATTTGCTTAAAAATCAAACAAAGAATAAAAGAAAGGTATTTTAAGATTATGTATTTAATAAGTACTCTCAGGAAGACTAAGAAACCTGTTATCTACACCAGTTTTTATTTTTAGTCAATGATCTATACCTGGATCTGTTAACCATTTCTCTGTTGTTGAAAATCTTCATCCTTTTTGGGAAAATAATAAGAAAAATTATTAGATTTATTTAAAATCTCTCTTTCTTTCCCCCCAAATTACAAGTATCACCATCAGCTTTCTAACTAATCAAACTTTAATTAAAGTCAATTATTTCTTATATGAACAAATAGTTTAGCTCTTATGTTATTTTTTTTCTAGGAGATTCTTTATGAAAATCAAGTTATCTGTCTTTTTTTTCCCTATTGGTGTTGAACAGTTACAAACAAGCTTGTTTTACAAACTGCAAATACTGTCTGTACCCTACAGATATTTTCCTGTTATTCCTAACTTGCCAAGGTAAACAGAGGATGATTGATTAGGGTTAAAAGAATTTTTCTGGTCTGGTCTAAAAAATATATATTAGGAATAATGATTGTACATTTTCAAGTCAAAGAAATTTAATGCCTTTCCTGTTTTGAACACAAATGTTCCAGTTATACACTGGTAAAAGAATCTATTTTCATATTATGTAGGCAGGTTAGTGGTAATTCTGCTTATCCATTAAAATAAAGTTATTATTTTGGAAATCAGAAAGTGAGAATATGTGTTTGTTGGAACTGACTTGTTGAAAAGGTAAACACTACTTACTTTTGAAAATAGGAAGCCCTCTATTGATGTGTATTCCCTTTATCCTCAGTGCCATTATTCTGGTTCATAACTTACTTGGTCACTGTATGATTCCTGTTGGGGAAAAAAAGAGTTTGTAAGAAAAATATGACTTAAAAAGGGGGGGAGTATCAAAGCAAACTTAGCCCTTAAGTACACCTGTGTTTCATTTTATTTTTTATCAAAGTGCACTTATTTGGAATGTCTTGCCTAATTAGATCTGAAAGATGTCCTTTTTTCATCATGTTGAGCCTCCTAACTGTATTTGATGCTTGAAGGAACTGGGAAGTGGTCCTGGGAAGTCCTAAAAAATGAATCCAGATTAATACATAAACAAACACACTGAACATGCCTTTTCTAAGCAAAATATTATGTGACTTAAGCTTGGAATATATTTGAAAGAAAGAAAACATCATTTCTTAAGTCTACAAAAAAAGAATAGATAGGCTAACTCTGTATTTCACCTTAATTCTTGAGACAGACTTTGTAGATAAAGATAGGTTAGGATTAATCATTAATTTGAACTCAATTTTAAATTGCTTTGCTGAAATACCCAATTAACTGAGTTTAAAAGCATAAGTAAGCAGTCAGAACAGATTTAAATTCTTTGTTGAAGCAGATTAGCATATTCACTGTTCAAAACATCTGTTGACAATATGATGGAAACACTATCCAGTTGAAAACCTTGTGAACAAAATAAGCTTCTGGAGTTTTGTGTGTTTTCTGTTGGGGAGAGGGGCTCAGAGGAGAATCTGTTTCACGCCTCTCCCTTAGTTTCTTGGTGGTTGTTGGCAGTCCTTGGCGTTCTGTGGCTTGTGGCAGAATAACTGCAACCTCTGCCTCCATGGTCACATGTCATTCTCCCCTGTGTCTGTGTCCAAATTATCCTCTTCTTACAAGGACTCCAGTCATTGGATTAGGGCCCACCCGACTCCAGTATGATCAGATCTTTACTTGATTATATCTGCAAAGAATGAGCTGCCTGAGGACCAATTTTCATTCTCACTTACATCAAGATGACTGCACCAACATGACTACAGGACACCACCAATGCAACAGATGACTGTTGACACTCCCCTAGGTGAAGAAATTATCAGTGTTTTTTCCCTGTTAATTGTCCTTTCTAGGTTTTTTCCTACAGACCCTAGTGGGTTTTTTCCCCTACCCATAGCCTAGTGGTTAAGAGCATGGAGTATGGAACCAGATCAACTGGTTTTAGGTCCTGGCTTTACCACTTACAATTTGTGACCTTAGGGACATGACTTAAACTCTTTGTATCTGTTTCTTTAACCCTGATTATATGAAAGTGATAACAGTACTTACCTCACAAGGTTGTTGTACTGAATAAATCAGCTTATCTGAAAAATTTAGAGCAGTGCCAGCAAAGAGGAAGTGCTATGTAGGTGATTATTATTATTAATGTTATTATCATCATTATTATATAATTTTCCTCACTTTTTTGTATCATGGCATGCTTTACAATTGATAGAATAAATGAAGCAATCATCCCATTTGAGTCTTTCTATAAATTATTGAGGTAGATATCAATCATATAGATTTCCTTATTAGCAAAAGCAATTAAGGAATTACCTAAGAAGTAAAGTAAGCCTTCAACGTCAAATGTATATTATGACTAAGAAGAGTAGCTCTTTTCATTGCTCAGAGACAACATGATAGTGGATAAACAGCCCAGTCTTTGGAGTCAAGACATAAGAGTTTGAGTCCTAGCTCTACCACTCACTACCTGTGTGAATCAGGAAAGTTTCAGAATGGTTCTGCCACTGAAAAGAGTGGTCTGTGGAGTGAAACAGATATGAGTTCACATCCCAGCTCTGGCATATAGTAGTTGTGTGAATTTGGGCAAGTTTTTAACCTCACTGGAAAGAGGCTCCTCTACATTATGAAAGTTTCACTAAAATAAAGGTAATTTCTGCTTTAATGTTAGAGTATGAAAGATAATATACATAATGCACATGACACAAAACCTGCTACCAAGTATGCATAACTATTTTTTCAAGTAAGTGTCACATTTAATATTTTAAGAATGCAAATAATGTGTAACATTCAGTCCTTGTAAGTTCCCTCTCCTTTCTCCTTTCTTCCTCTTTTCCACAACTTTATACTAACTCTTTAGTTCTTGAACAGAGAGCACAGCAGGAAGGCATTGTTATTTTTGCCAAAAATTTCTTCCAATTTCTGTTCCCTTGTAGTAAATGATACAGTATGATGTCACATTCCAAGAAAGTATAAGTGGTGCTAGAAAATCTTGCTAAAAGTTCTTGATATGTATTGGTAGATGTGTCATTTTAGTACTAGAGGAAATAACCATGAGAGCAGTACATTTGTCATTTCACAAGCAATCTGAAAATAGTGGTAGGGTATTTTGGAAGAAATGCTGGGTTTTTCATAGTGCCATCCAATACTGAATGTTGGACACTGATGTTAAGAAAACAGATTCCACAAGAAGCTTCCCTGTTCCTGGGGCCCCTAGATTAGGCATTCAGAGATTTTTACTTCCTAATAGGCAGAGTCAAGGCCCCTGCTCAGCCTTGAAGCAGCTATGGGATAGACTACCAACCCTCTGCACCCTTATAAGATTGTGGTAGTACAATCTCTGAGGGGAAAGTGAGACAGGAAGGAAGAGGGCAGGACACAGCCATAAAGAAATGACACAGCAGTTAGCACCAAGATGGCATAAAAGTCCACTCCCAATAGACCTGGAGGCCCAAGATGGCCAGATATTTGACCTCTAGTGGACCTTGAGGTTCATTATACACGTTGTAATGTACTAGCGTGGTGAATGATACACCCACAGGTGCCATGACAGTTCTGAAGCCAACCATGAAAGTTCAAAACCAGGGTGGTGGCCCAGTTCCTGGGAATCCCTGCCCCTTCCCCAGGGTAGTAGGAATAATCCTCTCACTTCTTAATATATAAAAACTAGCAACACTGCACTCTCTCTTGCCTTCTGAGACCGCCTGTACTCTTGTGTATGGAATATCTATCTACCTTTACTTTAACCTCCACGCACATCACCCACCATGTACATCTCTAAATAAATCTACTTTTACTCAAAAAATAAAAAATCGTTAGTAATTTCAGAGTGGATTTGTAGCTGAGATGTTTAAATTTTTTTTTTTATTGGTGTATTTCCTTTGTACAGTTGAAAATTCAACGTGTGTATATCATTATAGTTGAAATAAGTTCTTAGAGTGTGTATCTTTGTATCTCTGAGCATCTTCAAAGATAGGAATCTTTAGAAGTTTTTTTAAGGACCTATAGAAAGAAATTGGGAAATATGTACGGAAGAACACTTAATATATTCTCAGAGATTAAAATAGTTACTTTACCACTAAAAGAAAGAAATATGTACATATA